TATATATATATGTTATCGTACTAATTTGTCCCTTATTCGATGGCGACATTAGCATATTATGAGAAATTTCTATGAATTATGATAGCATATTTGTAGATATAATTACACTCGGAACAAAATATTTCAGTCATAAATCAAATTTTATTCATTCCAAATGTTTCCTACATTAAAACATTTATGCATATTCTATTTTATATTGGTAAATTTCATGAATTAGTAGGAAAGGAATGTATAGTTGACATTTAAACTTCCTTGCTTCGAATTTTTTAAAATAACTTCATTAAAAGCTTGATCTGTCTCGAGACGATATCACTTGTGTAATGTCAAAGGCGAGAAATGCAATAAATGAATTGTTACGTAGAGTTTTATTTTTTATTTTCTCTTATAAAAATATAATAAGTTCGTAATTGTGAAATCTGCGACTAAAATATGCGACAAAACAACTATCTATTCGATATGTCATGTAGAAATATAAAATAATTCCTAAATTTCAAAAATATTGGTACATCTTTTTCAGTTGTCAAATACCGCCATTGAACAGATATCTCAGTTTACCGCATATTTTAGATTTCAGAATTACGAAATTATTATGTTTTTAAAGGAAAATTAAAAAAGGTAAAGCTATACGTAGCAATTAATTTATTGCATGTCATTTCTCGTTTTTAACGTTATACAATTAATATGGCGCCTCAAGATAACTAAAAGTTGCTGTGGAAAATTTTTAATTTGCACTTTTCATGGGAAATTCACTGAAAAAAAAACGATTTTATGATCGGTCCATAGCTCATTCTATCGTACACGGAGGAACTGAACAAGATGCCCTATCGCCAGAAGTTTCCACGTCTAGAGCCGAAGAACGTGCAATTCTGGTTCAAGAACCGCAGGGCCAAGAATAAGCGGCTGAAGATGGCTCTATTCGAGGGCGAGTCGCCGCAACAGCATCCATATCATGCCGACTAGTTAATTTCCTTAAATAACATTGACTAGAGAAGCGCGAGAGAGGCTTGGCCTTTGCAGCACGGAAATAAAAGGAAATCGTTAACCGACTTGTTACTCCTTACTATCGTTGACATGCGGTTTTAAACGTTTACCGGCCGCACATTCATTGTAATTATCACGTAACAATTAATATAATTATTATGGACTTTCATGAGTGTAAATACGAGGTGATGTCAAATAAAAAATATACGTCACGACAAAACAATATTATTAAGTATCTGCCCTCTGCACCAAGTACAAATTAATTGGCTCAACGTATTAATATAAAAATGATAGTATTTCCAGACAATTAATATTTATAATTAATTTATGTATTGATTATTGATAACTTCAATATACAGGAAATATTGGAAGAATAGAAATAAATGTGGATCGTCTACGAATCTATGAATATCATATTATTTATTATATTAATTTATTATAATTTTTTCTAATTCTCAAGTTTATTATATAATTCATTTTTTGTTAATTAAATATTTCATTTTATTATAATATTTATTATAATATTTCATTTTTTAATCAGGAAAACATACAACAAACTTCTTTTTTAAAGAATTGCTATGAATTTTGCAGCTCGTCGTTTCACAAGAAGAAAAATCAACCAAGAGGTAAGAGCTTTAAGAGCGGATTCATCCATTCGTCTCGGACGAGTACAATAAATCGCCAAATAGTATTTCGTGAGTTTCATAGAGCTTGTAATAACATATATATGTCTAAATGGACGAGACGATGTGTGTTCACGCGTGTGTAATAGAAGCGCGCACAACGATACTGTCTCCAAGTATACGAATGCACAAAGCAGTCGCCCCGACCGAAATCTCGCAGCTAAGATAAGACAGCCGAGCTGTCATCGAGTCAACCCTAACTCAAACGTCACAATAGTCAATGAGTCTTTCTCTAAAAGCGGCGTACTATCTGTCTACGCTACTCGCGTTTCGCGTTGTTCACGAGAGTTTCAGGGACAGTAAGACTGCGGATGCGGCAGGGAATGACAAAGAGACCGGATGAAACGGAAGCACAATTGATGTGTAGTAAAAAAATATCCGCTGAATACAAAGATAGCCAATCTCTTTCGTTGCGCGTATTTTCATTGACGGTATAATAAATCTTTTTTGCGTTACGGAAGGAAAATTTATTTGGTATCATTAAATTTCCGCTTTCATTGATAGCGCGTTTTAATGAGCAGATAATCATCATTAGGATACTTGTATTGTATTATAAGTTCTGTTAATAGACTCGTATAAGGTAAATGATTATTGAGCAGGATTGGATTCTTATAGTAAAGCACGGATTTTCGAGACGCATTTTGATTGCGTAGCAAAATGGAAGACTTTTGCGTTTAAATACGTAGCAATGCGCAAAGACGATGCCAAGGGGATATCGTTGTCATCTACGACACGCGCACAGGACCTGTCGTTCTGGTGGGCCCGCCAGGGGGTCCCGGATTTAATGAGGATAGGCGGATTTGTCCAATTAAAACGTCTTACAAGGATCCATCCAGGTCGACGTTCATTCGCAAAACATCGAATCTAGACTTTGCCGCAGCAACCTCTTCTTATCCCCGCGCTATATAGGTATCTACCTACCGTTATCCCTCTCGTTATCGTTATCGGGCTCCGCCTTCCAAACCGAGCCGCGACTCGGGAAGCAACGCCGGAGCAGACAAGGATTTATGGAGCTTGTTTCGAGTGCCATTGGTATCCGCGAATGTCGTGGAGATTCTACTGCGTCATCGGGCAAAACATAAATCATGAATCTCGTGATCGAAGATTGAGAGTGGATTGATGTTATATCGTTGATATAAATCTATTATAAGTGAGCACTTATAGATCACAAAGGACGCAAAAAAAAATTATCTTGTTTCGATACGTTACACAATTACATACACCATACGATTTTTTTGTTAAATTGTTTACGTTTTAGTAAATTACTAGACATTCTGTGTGATGCGATTCTAGTAATTTACTAAAATGTAGACAATTCAGCAGAAAAAAAAACATTCTGTATCATAGATTCAAATACAAGTAGTGAAGAATAACATACTTTCTTTTAAAGCGAATTGTCACTCTTAAATATTGAAAATTAAGCCATTCTTTTTCCAGACTGGTTCAGTTTCCACTCTTTAGAGTTAGATCTTATTCCAAAGAATTTATAGAGAATATATAGAGAGTAGTATGCATAAAATATCGAAATTATAATAATAAAAATTATAATAATTAAAAATTAGAATAATTAGAAATTATAATAATAAAGTCATCACGTTAGCTGGTTTTTCGATTCGATCAGATTTCAATTTTAATAAGTATATTATGTTAAAAATTTGTTGAAAACTTATTTTTTAATGTGTTTAATACTGTTTTGTAAAATATTATTTTTACTGTTGTTTATAAATAATTTTTTTCAATCATTTTAAACTTACAAATATACATATTTGATTTTATTAAATATCAAATTTAACGTGCAAAACAATTAGTTTCTTGGAATTTCATTTATTCATATGAACATCCAGGATCTTTAATCGGAAGAAAACGAGAAAAGAACAGATTGGTCGATCGGATAAGAAAATTGCTGCTGGGCCGAAGAGTAAGAACTAAGAGGGAACAGTGAAATGGCAACGGAGAAGGGAAGAGGAAGCAATGTCTTATGAAAATCTGAAAGTCAGCAGCCCGGAGGATCATCTTTTTATCTGATCTTAATTTGTCAGGTCGCGCGCAGACAATTTAGATCACACCATTCGTATTAAATCGTTATGAAAAATGACCAGTTTTAAAATTAGCTTTATCGACATATATATTAAAATTTTTACGGCATTTTATGAACATGCCCGATGATATTGATTTGCTATCGTTCTATTAAAATTATTATTTTTAACAAGTTTTTAAAATATTTTAATGTATATCTAAATAAAAATTGTTAATAACAATATATAAGCAATATAAACAATATATAGCAATTATTTTGAAGTAGTTTTGTAGTTAAAAATGTAGTTAAGCTTGTACACTGTGCTTTTTTTCTGCTGGATTGCTTGCGTTTTAATAAATTGCTAAAACTGGGCTACATAGAACGCAGAATTTCTAGTAATACTAAAACGTAAACAATTCAGCAAGAAAACATGCATCATGTGCCACAGGGTCAAGGCATATTTAAGACCTATAAGATTTAAATAGGAAATCAACATGTTGGATTCGCTGCCGCTTACGTTATGATCTCATGATCTTTACTATGATTGGTCAATTCGCTTACTGCTTTAAGTCTTACGTCTTAAGTTTCTATGTGCCATGGCCTTTAGTTTCGCTAAAATAATTGAAATTATAAAAGAATATTTTAAAATTGTGTGAAAATGTTTTTCGTCGTATTTTTGAGAAATACAATGTAATACAAAAATATGCATGCAATAAGTTACGCTCAACGAGTTATTATTGTTATAATTTAATAAGCGATAAGAGAGAACAAATCCTGACGTGAGTTATGTGGTAGCAAATGAGCTGCGTTTGGGCGACAGTCGACAAATTGCAAATGATCGAAGGAAATTTAGAATCGTTTATAACCATCGCGAATGTAATGCGATATAACACGAGCTAAACATTACCCTTTGCATTCTCACACGATCGTGTACACGAAAAGTATCCACGAGAGGTGGGTACATGTCGCTCCAAAGGAGCATTGTGTATGCTTTGGCATTCAGAGGACATTCTTATCTGCCTATCCGGAGAGCTGTCAGCAAAGTTCCTGAATAATAACAGAGAGCTTGTGGAAGAGAAAGAGAGAGAGAGAGAGAGAGAGAGAGAGAGAGAGAGAGAGAGAGAGAGAGAGAGAGGAAGTTATAGGTAGAAAGAGAAAGAAAGAGAGGAAGGAGGAAAAGGGAAAGATAGAAACAGTGAGAGAGACAGTGAGAGGGAGAGCCGCGCGGTTCTGCTATCAGCCGTAGCTAGGATATGCCTAACTATTCTATTTCCATGCGGCTGCCGGACGTTTCGCCGTAGATAATGTTGGCCAGGATGGTTAGATTGTTGGATGCGATTGATAAGAACCGAAAATGCCCTCCGCCGTTGAATCGGATTGTAACAAACGCGCGTAGAGCGTGTCGACTGTACTTTTTCTACTACTTTTTCTACTACTTTTTAAAAATACATATAATTGCTAAAACATATATCGTAAATGTCAATGAGATATGTGATAACTCATTACTTATACATTCCTCGAATAGATACACATAATTTGGGTTTGTAAGTGGATTACTACAGGATAAAAATATATAAACTTGTTACATTTATAACAGCTTATAAATTAATGATATATGAATCAGATTTATAGAGATGTAATATAAAATTATTCAAAAATCTTTTGAGATGTTAAGATTGCAAACAACTAGAATCTCCTGAACAAATTCTGTATTTATTAAGAAATGAAATGAAATGAATTAATATATGACATAATACGAGAAAAGAGATTTCCTTTCTGAATTAGGCGAAAGAAACAACGATAAAATAGTTAGAAGGGAGACCAAAGAACGATTTGGATGAAGTCGAGAGACAGTAGAGGGGTTTGAGAATTCGAGAGCTCGCAAATTAGCCGCAGGATTGGCCTCATAATCCTTGAGGGATGCTACGGTCGGCGACGCGGCTTCCATCTTCTTGTCTTGCTCTCATTTCTCCCTCTCTCCTTCTCAGTTTTCTTTCTCTTACTATTTCTTTCTCTTTTCGTCGAGGGTAGCTGATGAGGTCACATAAACGAACTCTGCTTTCCCCTTCTTATTCTTTAATCCTATCCCTCCCTGCACTCGCGCGGCTATACTAAAAATTACGAGTAGAAGAAGAGAACGACCGGCTGAAGACCAACGATTGAAAGTAATGAGCCGTAGAAGGAAAATCACCAAGGGGTAGGCCGTATTCTCTGCTGCGAGTAATCCGATAGTCGGATAATTAATCCCGTTAATTTATCGGCACCGACTCCCGAAGATG